GCAAAATGACATCCAACCGGCCTCACAACCACAGACCACGTGTAACCACACCAGCCCAGGACCTCCACATCCAGCATCTTCACCTCCAAGATCGTCTGAGACCAGCCACCCGGACAGCTGCTGCAACAATCGATTTGCATAACCAAAGAATTTCTGCACAAACTGTCAGAAACCGTCTCATGAAAAATGGGGGCAAAAACAAAAGTGTTGCGTTTATAATTTTGTTCAGTGTATGTTAAAATGTACATTTAATTTATGAATTATTAAATATTATAGTAAATACTTTTAAATAAATGTTTGTTTTATGTTATGTTTCTGCAATTGTTTATATGTATGGCTGATTTTATTTAATTTATTTGTATTATATTACTTTAGCATCAACCATAAACATACAAAACTGCAAACATTAAATATAAAATAAAAACTATTAATTTAAAATGGCATTTATTATTTGTGACCATGGACCACAAAACCAGTCATAAGGGTAAATTTTTTGAAATTGAGATTTATACATCATCTCAAAGCTGAATAAATAAGCTTTCCATTGATGTATGGTTTGTTAGGATAGGACAATATTTGGCCGAGATACAACTATTTGAAAATCTGGAATCTGAGGGTGCAAAACAATCAAAATATTGAGAAAATCGCCTTTAAAGTTGTCCAAATTAAGTCCTTAGCAATGCATATTACTAATCAAAAATCTAATTTTGATATATTTACGGTAGGACATTTACAAAATATCTTCATGGAACATGATCTTTACTTAATATCCTAATGATTTTTGGCATAAAATAAAAATCGATAATTTTGACCCATACACTGTATTGTTGGCTATTGCTACAAATATACCTGTGCTACTTATGACTGGTTTTGTGCTCCAGGGTCACATTTATTAAATTGCATTTCCACCACAAAACAGCATTTTTGATGGTGTTTAGAGACTTTTGATTAGTTACCTACTTTCTACTACATAAACATCTTCCAGAAGATTATTTTAATGGAAATTCAATTCAAAAATGAAATTCCTCACCCTCATTTTGTTCCTATATGACTTCCTTTTTTATGTGAAGCATGAAAGTTCTCCATGATTTCATTAAACCGACCCCCAACGTTTCACGTTTACAGGCAGCAGCAACAGCTGCAAGTACTTCGCCAGCAACGATTCATCGGACACATCGCGGAAAGCGCGCAAGTCCGCAGAGCCCCAGGAACGTGAGCGTATGACCTTCACAAAGCAAGTGGACAATTCGTTATGGAGCATGATCAAGCAGATGCCCGAACCCGTCATGATGACCTATCAGATCGGCCCCAGGTACCAGACCAGGAACATTTCTTCCTCTCTCTTTCTCTGAATCCCGGGTTCCCGCTCATTCCTCTGAGAAACCTGAGAGAAACGTGACATTCTGAGCATCTCTTTCCACAGGAGAAAGAGATAGCGCTGCCAGGCTCTCTCGCTGAGGTAGTTCTGATCAAGCTAAATGTCTCATTGCACTGTCAGCCCTGAGGTAGGTGACTCTAGGTGACGGTACACAATGAGACCTGTGTTAAAGAGCTTGATGAAGTGACACAAGCACCTAATTATGGATGGAGGAGAGGGCGAATCTGCCAGGCCTCTATGTTTTTTAGAGTATTACGATTAGGGCTGCAAAACGATTAATCGCGATTAATCACATTCAAAATAACCGTTTGTTTACATACCATATGTGTGTGTACTCTGTATATTTATTATGTATATATAAATACACACACATACATGTATATATTTAAGAAAAATATGTTGTTTATATATTAAATATATTTATATATAATATAAAATATAAGAATATAAATATATAAATGTATATACATGTAAATATTTTCAAAATATATGCTGTATGTGTGTGTATTTATATATACATAATAAATATACACAGTACACATACATATACTATGTAAACAAAAACTTTTATTTTGGATGCGATTAATTGTGATTAATCGTTTGACAGCACTAATATACTAAAAATATATATTGTGTGTATTTATATATACATAATAAATAGGCAGCGGATATTTGCACTAATTGAAAATAGCATGTTTTATTAGTGATATAGATGCTATGGATTCTATTTACACTAAGTGCAGATAGCTCTATAGATTCTATTTATACTGTTAAAATAGCAAGATTTTCTGCTATTTATACTACTTATTGCAAAGAGTGGCAATTATCTGCACCTCAGTATTGTAGTACATTAAAAAACAGTACGCAATAATAACATATTGAGTGAAAATTATCATTTTAATTCAAATTATTAAATGGATGCCAACTTATTGGGACAATAAAGCCCTCTCTACACCTACCCTAACCCTACCCGATACTTTATTTCCAACAAATTGTTAATTTCCTTCATTTTTATTGAAAATAAATGCCTTTCCGATGTGATATGAGATTTGAAAAGGGAGAAAAAAGTTCAGCAAAAAGCGGATTCGAACTCGGGTCGACCGCGTCAAAAAGCACACGCCTTATCATCTACGCCATTGAAACTGATGTTTAATGAACGTCTTTTGTAGTCTTGACTACCCCAATCACACGTTGGTGGGTGGAGTTAGTGTAAATAGCCTCTGCCAACAAGGCGGGCTATTTGCACTTAGTGTAAAAAGACACTCCGTAATACATATACACAGTGCACACACATAGTATGTAAACATAAACTTGTATTTTGAATGCGATTAATCGCTTTGCAGCCCTAATAACGATTTTGAAATCAAAGCGGTGTGCTGTTGAGTGTCATCTAGCAAACGATTGAGGCGGTGTAAGTGAGTTTTATTTTGTGTGTGTGGATATCCATGCAGGGATCAGGCGCAGGTTCTTCAGGAAGACCGGGAGAAGCTGCTTCTGATGCAGCCCATGCAGCCCTGGTTCACCCAGGACCAGAAGAAGGAGCTGGCCGAGGTTCATCCCTGGATCCATCAGCACACGGTCCCACAGGAGATCAACACACAGGTCTGCAACTTATCATTTACGTCAATATCAAACATATGTAACATTATGGGCCAATATTTGAGATGGCCTACTGATAACTGGCTCCTTGGCCAGAGGAGCAATTATAATAATGCACATTTTTCCACATATGGCTTGGATCTGAATTTAATAAAACAAAAATTCTCTACAGTGAGTGAAAGGAGATGCTTGACTTTCAGAAAATTAAGTTGTTCCTTATCAGCAGTTATTGTAGTCTCTGGATACTATTATATATAATAACTATATATATATATATATATATATATATACATACTGTATATATAATCCAAAGACTAAAATATATATATAGTATTAGTAATTTTTGCATTTTACGATACCATTTTAATATTTAGTTTTTGTGTGTGTTTTTGTCTTTTTTTATTTGTTGTTGATTTATTAGTTTTAAATGTCTATATGGTTTTTATTCATTTTTATTTTAGTTTTAGTTATTTTAGTACATCGAGTTAGGCTAAATGTTGTTTTGAAAACTAGCTGAATATAAAATTTAGATTTTTAGATTTTATTTTATTTCAAGTAACAATATTTTTATGGTTTTAGTTTTAGTTAACTATAATACTCCTGCTCATCAGGACCTTGTGTGTTTTATTTTACATTTATTTAATATCTGGTTTGCAACTCTGTTAACAACATTTTTAATATGTCCAAATTACATGTTAAATAACTGAATGTGCAAAATATGAAAATGTATAAAAATATATTAAAATAAATTCATAGTTACAAATATTTTTGGTTACACTTTATTTTAAGGTGTCCTTGTTACAGTGCAATTATACATTTAAGTACTGAGTAATATAAATTAACTACATGTACTAACTGTATGATTAGGGTTAGGATTGGGGTTTGGTTTAGGGCTACTTTCATGTAATTATGCATAATTTATTGTTGTTATAATAGCAAGTAGATGTAACATGTGCAACATGGACACCTTAAAATAAAGTGTTACCATATTTTTCTATAATTAACTTGATAGACGTCATCAAAATATTTGTTACAAGTCCCCCTGTAGTCAAATATTTTATCCCTTAAAACTTATCTTTGATCATCAAAATGGCATATTTAAATGTTTTTTCTTGTGAAAATAAATTAGTCATGCCTTAAAATAGATTGAATGTAACAACACCCTTGAATGAATATGCAAATTAGCCCCGCCTCCACTCAGTCACACCAGCCAGCGCCTCCTGATCCACTGAACTGTAGTAACCGCGGAACAATGGCATACATGGATAATGACTGATAAAACTATGTTTTTACTAGCGGACAACTACAGCAAATACTGTAACATTCGTTAAAGTTACTTACTTGACGATGTTGTGTCCTAAAATGCCTTGAAGACTCGAATGCAGCCATTTGTGATTCTTAATTCGCGCCTGCGAGCAATGCGTGTGAAGTGCAGACGCCGATGCAGGAGAGGTGGGTCTGACTCCAGGCTTCTTTTACACTGTTGCCGCGGGTTATAATGCAAGTTAGCGGTTCTAAATTCACATTAAACCACAGCTTCATGGGTTTTTTGCTCTAATTTATTTTTGGTTTTGTGCTGGTATTGGTATATTTTGCATGCTAGTGATAGGAATCCATCCCTTGACGTGATTGGTTATTGAATTGTGACGTAGCAAACCAAGGGCTGTTTCAAACCGCGTTTCTGGGACAGCCTTTGGGAAACTACAGGGAGAAAATACTCAGCAATGGTGTTGATTAATAGATCGGCACATGGTTTGTCTAAAAGCATATTTAAAACACCACATAGACAAATAAACAACATAAAAAACTTGATTTTCACTACAGGGGGACTTTAAGATAATATGATTTGATTTGAATTATTACTAATTGTTGGATCCAGTCAAAAATGTCAAGACCACTGAGGGTCTAGTATTCCTGCTATATTAATCATTTCCACCAAGTTTGGGGTTGGTAAGGTTTTTGTAAGATCTCTCTTATTCTCACCAGTGTAAAATAACTATTTAAAATGTAATTAATTCTTGAATTTTCAGCATCGTTAATCCAGTCTTCAGTGTCACATGATCCTTCAGAAATCATTCTAATATGCTGATTTTGCTGCTTTGCATCATTCGACCGCTATCTTCATTGTGTCTCATCATGATCTAATATCTTTTTTTAGTGTTGTGCGAGTTGTACCACCATGGAACCGGGCGAGGAACTAAATCTTCAGACTGACTCTCCAAACCCTCCGACTCCTGACAGCTCCTGTCCGCCAGACCCAACACCGACACCTGACCGCAGACCCTGCTGGACCTCCGGCCTTCTGGGACTCAGTGATTCTTCTGCACTCAGCTGGGAATCGTGGGAAGAGACGGACCCCGCATCCGCGTGTCTCATATTTCCTCCTGAAGTCACGAAACGAGGAGAGCCCTTTGCACTCGATCAGACCACGTCAGCGTGAGTTTGGACACTCGCAGAAGACGTCACATGACCATGCATTTCTCTCTGCTGTTCTCCGTTACAGTCCATGGACCCAAACAACTGTGAATATTAGACTATAATTTGGTAGTCACCAGTGTGGCTCGTAATTTTTTAAACTGTTGCCCAAATGTTTTTTTGTTTTTTTTTTAAGAAAACTTTTTGTTAATTAATAATGTGTCCTCTACTGAATCTTGCAGGCTCAGGAGGGTTCATGATCTCCCAGAAGTACCTGTAATGAGTTTCCTGATCACTTGTGTATAAATGCGTATAAATGTCCCACAATGCTGCAACATCCTTTGCAGTTACTAAAGAACATAAGCACTCACTGCCAAAATCCAGTGGTGGACGAAGTACACAAATCAAGTACTTGAGTAAAAGTACTCTAAAAGCATCTACGAATGGAAATGAATGATATTTGGTCCAGAGCACAAAGATCTTCATTCCTTATTCAGCTCATCCTATCCAAACGGATTAGTTTTTCCGTCAGTGTGTTTGTTTATTTTTCTGTTCTCAATTTCAAATGTTTCTTCCACTGTACATGTGACTGAACGATGTCAAGCAATGTCTTACTATGGTATAAAACTAAAGTAATGGTGTAATTGGAATATACAGACATTTTTCTCTTGTGTATGTTGGGTTGATAGCTGTACTTGTACCTGGGTCACATTTCACCACAAAATAAAATAAAAAAAAAATAAAAAGATATATAAAATGTACATGTAAAAAATTATGACAGTTTTAGAACCATTTATTTTCATTTTGTGAATTTAGGAAAAAAAATTAATCTGATTAATTGTGAAAATGCAAAAATAGCAATGCATTCTTAATGGTTCTTAAAATTATTTTGATATATGAATTAATAATAATAATATTAATATTATATAAAATATATATTTTTATATTATTATTATATTTTCTGATATTTCTGTTGAATTGTGACCTAAACACTCTCAGAAAAAAAGGTACAATAGCTGTCACTGGGGCAATACCCTTTAAAAGGTACAACTTTGTATCTTCTTTACCACTACAGGGTCCATATTAGTACTTCAAAGGTATATATATATTAGTATCTGTACCTTTATTTCTGAGAGTGTAAATATGTAAAACTTCTCAAATCCATCATAAAGTACCCAAAAAAAGACTGAAATTAATGAAAAGGGTCATTTGCAATAGATTTGCTCACGTTGCGTCATATTTCTTTATACTAGCGGTTTGCAGCGTTGAAGGTTATAACCAATCACACTTTCTGTTGAGCTTAATTAATGCAGTTTGGCCAATCAGAAGCATTTTGATTACTCACCACGGAGAACGCTGGGGTTGTTTACTAAATGAATTCTGAATTTACTATCACAAATTATCTCTCTTTATTTATTTTATAATTTACTAATCAACAATAATGATTTTGTCATGGTATTGCAGCTTCACCCTCTAAGTTCTTGTTGTTGATTATTTAGGCTATTTACAATACCCAAATTTGTGTAAATACATGTACATGAGCAGCAAACATTCTGTGTAAATAAACATAAATACCATGTCAGATGTAGGTTCCAACTTTTGTAGTGTAAAGATGGCTTTTGTTGATGTTGATTGGTAACATTATATAGTATTGTGATTGAAGTAACAGGTTTATTTGTATTGGAAAAAAAAAAATTACAGATACATTGCCTTACAAAGGCACAACCCTTAATGGAAACGTTAATTTCTGTAACCTAACACAAAACATCTAAAGATTGTTCCACCAGATAAAATGTTATGGTTTAAATTCTAAAATGTTGTATACTGTATTACTGTTCCAGTCCGCCACCATCGATGAAGCAACTCGTCATCTGATGATGTTGATAAGTGATCAGATAAGATCAGACAGCCAGCTACAGACAGGGCAGCATCAAACAACTGCTCAGCAGCAGCAGCTCTCAACTGCTCAGCAGCAAACACCAGTGCAGAGAGAAATGACCAGGATATTTATGTTTAGGAAAGATAGTAATTTGTCTTATAATCTTTAGTTCAGCTAGCGTATGAATACTATGATATTTAAGCACTCAATTTATCATGTATAAATTAATATCTGTTAATCTTTTGTTATCTCGTTCGTTAATCTCGTTTGTTATGCTATTAAAATTGCATGATATTATTCAACGAGTAAACTGTATATAGAATGTTTTGAATTTTGCAGATCATTCCCAGGGTATTTTTTAAAGGGATCTCAAAAGGGACGAAAAAGGTTTCGATCTCCCTGTAAAGTGGTCAACACCAGCAGCAGGACTCTTTCCATGCAGTTCTATCTTGTGAATAAAAATGTGGAAAAGACACCAAAACCATCAGACGATTTTACACTTTTTCTTGCTGGAATGGGAAGGCGTACAGTCAAACTATCCAAAGATGCTGACCACTCTGAGGTAAATTAGAAAAGTACATAATAAGTGAGCTTGATCAAAATGAAGGTTTCATTTTGATCAATCAATTTTACTACAGTATTGTTTGCATTCCATTGTAAATTCTATTTTAGATTATAGCACATTCTCAGGGTCTAATGTACGCAGATTAATTTTAGTATATTAAAAAGTTTTAAAGTTGAAAGTACTGAAAGTACTGTTAACATTCTATTCATTTTTAACATTCATGTTCAGTATGTCCGCTATTGAAATAAATGTAAGAGTATTACTGAATGTTTTAGTTACCCAGAAATCTTTTTGTGCATATAACAAGGCAACTGATGGAACACTATCCAAAACTTGTGAAACTGACTGGAGGGTGGCTCCTGTACAAGGCTCTTGGTAATTAACATTAGAATAAATATCTAAATATAGATGTGTGTAGTCTAAACTTGCATATGTGAAAACAATTTACAGTATATTTTTATTGTGTGACAATAAGAACCTCAGTAGTATTTTGTTATAACCTTATCAGTCATCAGACATTGATAAAGCCAACCTTCTGAAGTGCAATTTAATCTTCTTAGATCTATCTATCTATCTATCTATCTGTCTATCTGTCTGTCTATCTATCTATCTATCTATCTATCTATCTATCAAACTTCAGACTTTCAGGCTAGGCTTTCTCAAGTTAACCTCATAGTTTGTACACAAACTTTATTAATCTAGTTAAATTTGTTGTCTTTAAAGGTGGATCGGGACAGCGAAAACTGATGATTGTCCCACCAGAAGCTGATGGCTATAATGCCCACTATTTAAAATCATCAAGTGGAGGTGGAAAGATTACTGTTTATAGTTCCTCTTCAAGAAGAACTAGATATAATGCCCCTTCCTTCAGATGCGCTGGAATTGCAAAAAATGCCAAAAGCAACCTGCCAAAACTGCAGCTTGTCCATGCCACTGCAAATCTTGGCTATGCATGTTAAGTCATGCAGTACCATTGAACTGTCCACTGAGGATGATACCACTAGTTCTGGAAGGGTAATGACATTTTTAGGAAAACTTTAACCTCAGTGTAACGTTTAAATGTTCTTTAATGGAAAATGTCATGATTTTTGATAGGTGATTACATGTCTTATATTTTCATTGTAGTCTTCTCCTCTTCCTGTATTCAATGGATCGGCATTAGCAAACCCATTTCAGAAGGTGGCAGCAGCACTAGTAAAGCAAGCATAGGCAAGTAATAATATTTTGTAACTGATACGGAATTTAATTCATGTTGTTCCAAACCTGCATGACTGACTTCTATATAACACATAAGGAAATGTTAAGTCTCAGTATTGTGTTAGTCTCACAGTATGATAGTCTCAGTGATAGATCAGTGAGAATTCATACAAGAGCAGCGTGTATCTGAGAGCGCGCGCGAGCAGACAGATTCGCGCTCGCACATTATATTAATGTGTTTTCGCGCTACAATAATGCGCTCTCGACATTTGTCATTAAAATAACGCCATAGAGGCCCAATTACTGACCTGTCAGTCCCACCCTACAGAAAAAGTTTTGTGATCAAAGAGAAATTTTTGTACAGTTTTTAGAAAGAAATGTAAATATCGCTCCAATGTATTTTACGAAAAAAGGCGCAAAATACCACAAACTGTATTAAAAAAAGCAATTTTGGGTCAAATTCAGGGAAGTATTTTGTGACACCACATGATACCTATGAATAAAACACCACAATGATTTAAACTGTTCTTCTTAAATATGATCCTCATATTTCTCAGTATTTTCTTTTGTATTTTGATAGTCAAAGTAATAAGCACACAATAACTTGCAACTCTTTTAAATATATTTACTTTATTTACATCAACGCTTAAAGCTTGTACCGGTATGTACAAATAAATTATCCGCTATTTTTCCTACAAACATAAACATATTTTTTGCAAATCAGGCCCGCAGAGCTTGTGCACGAGTGTTGAAATTTAAGCGCACGAGCGTTCTCACGGGATGTTTCAGACACAGTATTTCCAGAAACACTCTGGGTTGCTGCCTCGTTTGCGGTACTGCTTCCTGCTGCCCAGGAAAGGGCTCAACAACGGCTTTTCCAGCAACACCTGAACGACAAACACGAGTCAATATGTTTCAATAAACCTTCATCTCTGTCTGTTGATATAATGTTGCATGATGTCATGGGTTTCATTAAATCACTCACTTCTTTTGCAGCTTTACTCGGGACAAATCCAGCTGTTCTGAGACCTGAGAGGGAGACGAAGAACAAGACCAGGTGAGAGTGAGTTACATCCAGCTGTGCTGATGTCAGTCCCATCTGTTATTATAACCAGTGGTGGAAATGGCCAAAATTCACTGGGGGAACTCTAGATTAAAGGGGGGGACCTTTCAGATGTATTTCATTATAAAAACCCTTATATAATATATAGTAACATTAAACTTACTTCATACTGCAATTCTGCACCTGCAATTCTGGCCAAATTAAAGATACGTTGTGTGTGAATTTGCACGTTATAATGTAAGCATCATTAATGACCCCCTGTTTTTATAAAAAGAAAACAACTGATTTGATTAGTGAAATGAAAGAATTATTTAATAACAAATGAGAATGATTATTGTTTCTAATTGGCCTTTTTAGCAAAGCCCTCAAAACACTTCTTATTTAGTGGTACAGTATTGCATGATTTGTAGATTATATTTAATAGTTTACACTTTGCCAGAACGTTTGCAATTAGTTTTTAAAAGGTAACATGACATTCTTAAGTTCTTGCTTACGCTTACATTTCTTTTCAGGAGCACTTGTGCTCATACTTAAAAAAAATAAAAAAAATAATTAGGAACACCTGATCAATGACAGAAATGAATCTTCACCTTATTAATCTTATAATAAGGTGATATTTGACTCTATTTTTTTATCTTTGTAATGCCATTTTTCTAACTTTATTAAATGTCACCTTTTGTGCCACTTTGTTATAATGAATGACAAACAGCAGTCTGCTTTCACGATCTGTTCTGTGAGGAGCAGGACGCGCACCGATAGAGAAGCATTTCTATTGGCTGCAGTCTGCAGGTATTATGGCAAAAGACGACATTGCGCAGCTAACCATATTCCGCTACGTTTTTAGTCTACATTACGCTACGTTTTATATACAGAACTGGGGTCGCTTTCGTAGACTTTTGTTTGGATAAAGTATAGAAATCACTTTAATTTCCAATAGAACCTAACCAGTTGGAAGTGAAACACCGTCCCCCCTCGAAATTCACTCCCTGGACTTGAACTAATTCAAAATATAAAAAAAAAAAAAGATAATAGTATCTAAATAAGATTGGACCAGCTCACCATCACTGCTGATGTCCCCAGTGATGAGGGACGGGTAACCGAATCCCACGCCGCCCTGGGACAGATACGCTTGCTCTGAGTAACTCAGGTCTTCTGGACTGACCACCTGCTCCTCTTCTACAAGAACTACAGGTGAACATGACATACAATACCACTGAAGAACATTTATGAGTTGTTCCCTTAAGAAGTATTTTGTACCTGATGTGATACTTTAGATTTATAAGGATGGTGTATTCAGAGGTATATCTTAATGCAAACAGACTGATTCAATCTTATTAAACCATTTATTTAATACATTTAAAATATACTTTTTTGTCTTAAATATATACAGTAGTCAACATTTGAAGTGGATCAAAACCTTTCATCAAAGTTGTCCTAAACCAAAACAATACCCGTTCTTGTCTTAGGACAAGTTTCATTAACTTTTCTGATCCACTTCAAATGTTGACTACTGTATATATATATAAATATATATACATACAGTGGCGGCAACAATTATTAGAACACTAGTATTTTACCAGATAAAAAATGTTTTTAAGTCAGTTCTTTTGACTCTTTATCAGATCTTTATCTAAAAGTCTATCTTTTGCTGTAGTGTGTCAGTATCAGTTTACATTTCCAAACATGCATTTTGTCATTAATTATAATAATCCAGTGAGATTTTTGTTTGCATAAGGACAACAGCCAGTGCTCCACACAGAGTTCTGATCTCATCATCATCCAGTCTGTCTGGAATGACTTGAAGAAACAGAACAAACTGAGACAGATTAAATCCAGAAGAACTGTGGCAAGATGCTTCAAGAAACCTTTTTATATCTTAATGCAAGCAGGCTGATTCAATCTTAAGCCATTTATTTAAAATATTCAAAATATACTTCTTGTTGAATCAGTGTGTGAGAGAGAGAGAGAGAGAGAGAGAGAGAGAGAGAGAATGAGAGCACTTACCAGGCCTGGCGTAGGTCATCTCTGCCGAATGGATCAGCGGATGCCCCAGCAGAGGTTCAAGGACGGTGAGAAGCAAAGCGAAAAACAGAAAGAGTTTACACATCATGCCGACACGTACAGACACACGCAAACTCTCTTTGTTCCGCGACTTTAGCCTGGAGGGTTTCGTCTCAACGTGTCCGTCCGGTTTCTGTCTTGGACTTCTTATACCCTCCATTGCTGGCCATGTCGTCTCCCCGTCTCCATCGCTGACCTCCTCCCAACCCTTCACATATTCTGTGCTTGAAAATTCACAGAGGATAAATTAATGGATCAATAAAGTGAAACACAGACAGTCTGTGCGTCAGGGATGAGTCGCGCTGTTTTACTCGTTCGGGATGTAATCCAGCCGAGTTCATAAATCCGCCCGAACGCAGGTGGAAAAACGGCACTTTGCGTTAGAGCTCGCGGGATGCAGTCGGCCAGGCAAATTGCCCGCTAAATTCATTTATTTAAGAGGCTGCTGAGATTTATTTCCCATGATGCCCGCTGCGGTTACTCAAGCATAGGCCTATCCTCCTTACGACCCCTGCAGCTATTTTAAGAGACTGGAAATGGCAAACAGAAAGTGTGACCAATTTTCTTAATGGTGTAAAGAAAAAAAGTTGGCAGTTGGCCACAGAGCTGCATGTCAATCACATTTATTGTGAGTGACACACTGCTTCCTCCGCATATCTATCAGTCTGGCTTCAGAAGTGGACATTCAACCAAGACTGCCTTGCTCTCGTTGTTGAAGCTCTAAGACTGGCAAGAGCGGCTTCCAAATCTTCAATGCGCATCTTGCTGGATCTGTCCGCTGCTTTTGACACTGTTCACCACCAGATCCTCCAGTCAACCCTATTGGCAAAGGGCATCTCAGGAACTGTGCTTCAGTGGTTCTAGTCTTACCTCTCAGATAGGTCCTTCAAGGTATCTTGGAGTGGTGAGGTGTCCAAGTTACAACATCTAGCATGCTGGGGTGCCTCAGGGCTCAGTTCTTGGACCACTTCTCTTCTCTGATTACATGGCATAACTAGGTTCTGTGATTCTGTGATTCACTCAACTCTACTTCTCATTCCATTCTGATGATCTGATGATAGCTGCTCGCAATGTCAGCTTGTCTAACAGACATTTCTTGCTGGAAGAAGGACCATCACCTTCAACTCAAACTTGCCAAGACAGAACTGCTTGTGGTTTCAGCAAACCTATCACTTCATCACATTTCACCATCCAGTTAGGCACATCATCCATAACTCCTTCAAGGACAGCCAGGAACCTTGGAGTTGTGATTGATGATCAGCTGAATTACTCAGACCACATTGCTAAAACTGCCCGGTCATGCAGATTTGCAGATTTCAACATCAAGAAGATCAGGCCCTTTCTTTCGGAACATGCTTCACAACTCCTCATTCAAGCTCTAGTTCTGTCCAGGCTGGACTATTGCAATGCTCTCTTGGCAGGTCTTCCAGCCACTTCTATCAAACCTCTACAACTAATCCAGAATGCGGCTGCAAGATTAATCTTTAATGAGCCGAAAAGAGGGCATGTCACACCTCTCTTTATCAATTTACACTGGCTACCAATAGCTGCTTGCATAAAATTTAAGGCATTGATGTTTGCCTACAAAACCACCACTGGCTCTGCACACCTTTACCTAAATTTACTACTTCAGACTTACAGTATGTGCCCTTCAGAAGCTTGTGTTCTGCAAGTGAACTACACATTATAGTGCCATCCCAAAGAGGCACAAAATCACTTTCACAGACTTTTACCATGTTCCCTCCTGATGGAATCACCTGCCCAACTCAATCCAAGCAGCTGAGTCCTTAGCCATCTTCAAGAATCAACTAAAAACACATCTCTTCCATCTTTATTTGACCCTCTTTAGCACTCTCTATTCTAATTCTATTTTATCTACTTGTTTTCTTTTTATTTATTAAAAAAAACAACTTGACTCTCTAACACTTGCACTCTACTGTACTTCTATTCTAACCCCTTGTTTTCTTTTTTATTAAAAAATAGTTATATATTATTTTTCTATTCTTTCGACTTTTCTTTTTATGTATTTATAAAAAAACTCCCTCTAACACTCGCCTTCTTTATTCTTTTTCTATTCTATCTACTTGCTTTCTTTTTATTTATTATATAAAAACCCTTACTCGTGCGTTAGACTAACCGAGACTTGTCACAGCACTATGTAAATATTATTGCCCTTTTGTTGGTTTTGATTGCTTCTATTGTCCTCATTTGGATAAAAGCGTCTGCTAAATGACTAAATGTAAATGTGACATTATAAAACTGTTTATAGGCCAAAGTCTTGAAACAATTCTTCAAAATGAGCAGTAGGTGGCGCGAAAGGCCCGTGTAAAACTCCACATGATTCTCTTTGTTTTGACTGAGAACAAAAGTAGCAGCCAAACTCAAACTGTCAGTGTGTGTGAGGAAAAATCTCCCAAACATGAAGAACGGAGGACACCGAGATCATGCTGGAGAGAAGATGTGATAGACTGCAGTCACACGAGTGTTTGTGTTTAATTGTGTGTCACGCCTGATTCGTGTGTGTGTGTGTGTGTTTGTGGATGAGACGCGACTTTCACGGATCTGCGCGTGTCTGCAGTGACAGAAGAGGGTAAGTGTGTTTTTATCATGGTTTCGTTGTTTTCTAAAGCAAATTTATATTACAGTGTTTATGGTGCTCTTATAACACCCATATTCATTATAAAGTCTATTTTCGTGCATCTAAAACAACTTTTTTTTTAAAGTAGAACATTGACGTAATTGTTTATATATAAAGTTTACTGTATGTGGTTCATTAGTATTCTTCGTGAATGTAGAAACAGCAACACTAAAACTGAAAGCATGACCTAGTTTTCCATGTATTACTGTAATGGGAATTATATAGGAAAATATTAAACTGGGACTTTTAAAGCATTTTGTTTTAAGCTGTTAACCTACTTATTTGGATAAAATATGAAATCAGCTTCCCTGAATTAGACATGCACTTAAACATAACACATATTACTGTATTCTATAAAGTATTTTACACTGTATTAGACATTACAGTAGTTTTGCATGTTGTTTTTATATTATATTGTCTTAATTTTAGTGTTGGCAGCGATTTGCATAACAATAATTCTTGCAAGGTCAATCTAGCCTGACCGCCAAACTTTACTAAAGCCATGCTGTCATTGAGAGGTAAATGTATACCTCTATATGACCATTATATTTGATGATAATTCTGCTGATTGGATTATATTTGACCTGCAAATTTATATTACAGTGTTTATGTTGCTCTTATAACACCCATATTCATTATAAAGTCTATTTTCGTGCATCTAAAACAACTTTTTTTTTTAAGTAGAACATTGACATGTAATTGTTTATATATAAAGTTTACTGTATGTGGTTCATTAGTATTCTTCGTGAATGTAGAAACAGCAACACTAAAACTGAAAGCATGACCTAGTTTTCCATGTATTACTGTAATGGGAATTATATAGGAAAATATTAAACTGGGACTTTTAAAGCATTTTGTTTTAAGCTGTTAACCTACTTATTTGGATAAAATATGAAATCAGCTTCCCTGAATTAGACATGCACTTAAACATAACACATATTACTGTATTCTATAAAGTATTTTACACTGTATTAGACATTACAGTAGTTTTGCATGTTGTTTTTATATTATATTGTCTTAATTTTAGTGTTGGCAGCGATTTGCATAACAATAATTCTTGCAAGGTCAATCTAGCCTGACCGCCAAACTTTACTAAAGCCATGCTGTCATTGAGAGGTAAATGTATACCTCTATATGACCATTATATTTGATGATAATTCTGCTGATTGGATTATATTTGACCTTTCTTGTTATTGATATGCAAAAATAATATCTTTAAAGCTTACCAAAATATGATTAATGGCTCACAAACAGGAAACGAACTTTTCCAACGTCTTCGTCCTCGACACAATGTGTGTTATTGTTCCAGGATTTATGGAGATTAGATTACGGCTGGCACATTATAAAAGTCACACTGATTGCTTCTAGTGAAATATTAAACTGGGACTTTTAAAGCATGTTGTTTTAAGCTGTTAACCTACTTATTTGGATAAAATATGAAATCAGCTTCCCTGAATTAGACATGCACTTATTCTATAAAGTATTTTACACTGTATTAGACATTACAGTAGTTTTGCATGTTGTTTTTATATTATATTGTCTTAATTTTAGTGTTGGCAGCGATTTGCATAACAATAATTCTTGCAAGGTCAATCTAGCCTGACCGCCAAACTTTACTAAAGCCATGCTGTCATTGAGAGGTAAATGTATACCTCTATATGACCATTATATTTGATGATAATTCTGCTGATTGGATTATATTTGACCTTTCTTGTTATTGATATGCAAAAATAATATCTTTAAAGCTTACCAAAATATGATTAATGGCTCACAAACAGGAAACGAACTTTTCCAACGTCTTCGTCCTCGACACAATGTGTGTTATTGTTCCAGGATTTATGGAGATTAGATTACGGCTGGCACATTATAAAAGTCACACTGATTGCTTCTAGTGTTTAGCAGCAGTAAGAAATTGCGTTAGTGATACTAGTAACCTGTTAAACTGTTCTCATTGTCTCTCACTTCACATGTTTGTTGTGTTTCTCTGGTGTTTGATGCTGCAGGTTTCTTCAGTCATGGCAGAAACCGACATCGACAAATCTCACCTGCCCGGTGTTTATGACGGTGTGTCTGGGTTATTCTGTTTCGCATCTTTAATTCTTTTAATATCTCCTTAGGTTTGCAACATGTTGCAGTGTTGTTGTTGATCTGGTTTAAGGTTATAAGCTTAAAACCCAAAAGGGGTGATGCTACTGTACACTGTATATAAGCCATTATGGTGTGCTTGATCCATAAAACCTAATATTGCTTCCGTGGAATTGTTCTCGTAATTGTAAGTGTGGTGTAAGCAGTATTGCATTTGATAACTAAAAAATAGTTTTCATTTATTGAAGTAAAGCTAAAATAAAATATAAATATTAGATGAAAACTTTAAACTTAAAAGAAATTTAAATTTTGCTTTGGCAACTAAC